ATATCAGTGGTCGTTTAAATTGTATTATTAGGACTCCAAAACATGGTTATTTCTTTGTCACGTGCAAAATCTTGAGGGGAAAAAAAAGCTTTCTACTGTACTTTTAAATAAGCAACTAATTGGGGGGGGGGGGGGGGGAGGGGGGGGGGGGGGGGGGGAGGAAGAGGGGGAGAATGGCTGAGGTGTCCGCCCAGACTAAAATAGGTTGTATGAATGGTAATGAGAGATAAATGCGGCCAATGTAACATTTACCACATCACCCTTAGACTGCAAGTACTATTTTACCACCACCACCGGCATCACAACAACAACAAAACTGTCACTACTGTCTGTTTGACCACATTTTTATGTCGGTGTAGACAGGGGGTCGTTAGCCTGTGGATTTAGGGCCGCAGTAGGTGTATTCTGGTTTAAAGCTGTGGTAAAGGTATTAACATATATTGACAGGCACCAATAGACAGAAGTGCACACAGCAGACAACATACACATGGACAGCGAGCGTGAAATCGACACACTGCTGTACTGATCAACTTGGCCAGGATGCGATATCTGCGCCATTTATCAGAGCCCTAACAGTTTCAGCAACTCCTTAAAAAGTCACTGTGGAAAATGTGACGCTGGTCTCTCCATTTACACACTGCTACACACTAGGTCGCTTTTGATTGGACGACCTATTGAACACCTCACCTCTGATAGGTCGGCCTCGAGTGATCCGACTTTCACACAAGGTCACGGGGATATTCCACACTTGCGCTCCTACCGCGTATTGTATATTTCACCATGCCAGAGCTTCTAACACTTCTAAAACATTTAGATACTGGGTTTAACACACAACCACCCCACCCCCTTTTCCCAAGAGTGACAGAACCAATGTCATAGGCCGTCTCTTTCTCGGAAATAAAAACGTGAATGTCAGACAACAGACTGCGACACCCATAACCTCGACCACGGTAGACGTCCAGCCAACTTATCAAAGGAGTTGACATACAACCGGTGGTGTGTACATGGGGACCATCATATAAACAACCATCACTTTTTATCAGGGGCTTGGTCGGGGGCAATGGGTGAGCTGCCACTCCCAGGCTTTCGCAACCACTAAGACCTTGAAACAGCTACAGTAGATCTTCTGCAATTGATATGACTTTCATGCATTCATTTATTCTGTGTCTTTCTTCCTTTCAATCTCTGTGTAACCGTTTTCACAATTTTTGTGTGTCTCTTTTCTGTTACCGAAATGGTCACGCCGGTTGCCTGGCGCTGTCAGTATCGTTACCAGCCATTTAGAAGATAAACTGCAACATTTGCTAGTGTTCCTGATGCCTGTTGTGTCTTTGTTCTAACAGTCAGCAATAAGAATGCACATGTTATAGTACCAGGTCCTCACACAGACTCACAGTCTTCACTAATGCCTGTTGTGTCTTTGTTCTAACAGTCAGCAATAAGAATACACATGTTATAGTACCAGGTCCTCACACAGACCCACAGTCTACACTAATGCCTGTTGTGTCTTGTTCTAACAGTCAGCAATAAGAATGCACATGTTATAGTACCAGGTCCTCACACAGACCTACAGTCTACACTGATGGTCAAGAGGTTGAGACTGCTGACTCTTTGAACTATTGTGGAGCTCTAGTCAACAGACTATTATCACTCAAACATCGACAGGATAGATCAGGCAGCAAAAAACAAATTAACACACACACACACAAAAAAAAAATTTGTGAGAATAGAAAGCTGACCGTTAAAACAAAATCCATGACCTATCATCAGTCATGTGTTCTCTGCACTCATGTTACCGCGTGAAACTTGGTCAGCTCATTGGTACCAGCTTTCACGTGCGGTGCCCGAGAAGATACTTGGCATCACGTGACATGGCAAGATCACAGAGACTGGCTAGAAGCCAAGTAAAGGATGCATGATAGTAGAATTCCTAAGGACAGCGTCTACGGTCAATGACAGATACGTTGAAAATGTCTGTTAGGTACCACCGTATGTGCAAATGAGACACCAGTGATACAGGTATTGGTATGCATTTTCGGGGAAGAAAGTTTCATTGATCGTGTTGCACGGAGATGGAAGATAACAATAGGGATACATAATAAAATGATTGCATATATTTGAAGAGCCGACCATCTAAGAGAAAGCAGGCTAAATACACACGATGGCAGTAATAATCCCGAAATCCCGCACTCTTATTGTGGAAGAGGCCAGTAGGTTGGTCTTGCTTGTCATGTAGATAGAGGCATCGATCGATCAGTTGGTGGACGAGTGCGTAGGGCACTGCTGTTCAACTCAGTTGGCTCGTTGACCAAAATGTTGGGAAATAAGGATTGTCGCGGCCCAGAGGACTGATCCCCAGCACAAACAGATCATTAATACAGTACAAGTTGCAGGTGATCCCACTGGCCAGGCTTCTGCGGGCTAGGTTTGGCCTGTGGGTCGCCACTTGAAAAGCCCAGATGTAGGTCAGTGGATAGATGGACGATTAAGTAGGTGGGAAGAGTTGTGTAAATGGTTGAATGGGAGGGTGCGCAGGTGGATTTGTGGATGGGTGAGTGCGTAGGTAGATGAGGGATAAATAAGAGGATTAGTAAATGGATATATGCATGGGCGAGTGGATAACTCAGTAGATGGATGGACGGACGGATAGGTTGTAAATAGTGAGCTTTATGAGAAGGTAGAGAAAGAGTCCTTGTGTTTGTTTGCGGGTATATTGTATAGTTTTCTCATTTGTTATGCCTGCAGTTTGTCGGTTCACCCATTAGATCTGTTTTCTTCAGATTTGCATTGGTTCCTCCTAAGGCTTGCTGACAGCTAAAATTCGATGTACTGCAGACTTAAACAGCTTGTTGCAGTTTGAAGTACATGCACGGGCATGTTTTCCGTTACACGTGAATAAGCACGTTTGACAAATACCAGATGGACAACAATAACAAGACCTGATGGTATTTGTGAACGGTGTTTACTCGTGTGTGACCAGTCGGTGTGTACAAACGTGATATTGTTACCATTGGTTGTCCAACTGTGTGGGCATGAGGTAGACAGCACAAGGTGGGAGGACAACATCAGAAGATGGCGGAGCAGCAGTCTGAGAGTGTGTCTGGAATTCTCATAGCCTTGTTTTATGTATTCCCTACAAAGCCCCTAACCGATGCCTTTCACTGGCTGGTCTGGAACCCGCGGACCAAATGTAAGAGGTGCTCGTCAGAAGGAGATAATCTAGTTTCTGTCTGTAGTCACATCACGAGAAGTAAACTGATGTACATGAGACATCGGTAAAGTTGAAAAGGAGGGGAGGGGGAAGAGAGAGACCAGTGTAGAGGACGCAGGGTAGTTTGGAATCATGCCATTAAGAACACGTGTGTGACAGAAGGTTTTCGTCAGACTAGACTACCAGCCACACAACAGGCACTGTTGCAACAAGTATGCCCTATTTAAAAAAAAAAAAAATTCATTTCAGAGTCTTTCTGTCTGTTTTTCTTGGCTTCAAAATCTTTCTTTGATTTTAGCTTTAGCTGGAAGATCTGTCTTTCTAGTTTTCTATCTATTTTCATCTTGTTTATCTTGAAACTGGTCTGATAATTATGTAGTTTGTAAAAGTTCACATGGACTACTCCTGGGATCAGCCCTTAGACGATCATTTGGCGGCTGACGGAGGTCTGCCAGGACAGACGACCATTGTCTGCTTTTATCAACCCGCGGGTAACGACTACCACAACGAGGCTATATTGAGATGGGCAGCAAGTAACTCGGCATAAACCTGGGTTGCCAGTTTGACATCTAGATGTTGTTTTTGTTTTACATTTTTATGTTAGATGTCATTCTAAATGTTTTTACTTCTGAGCTAGGTATTTTATATATTTTTATTTATATAAATGGGCTATTAGAAAATATTTATCTTTAGAATGATAATTCATTCAATAACACGTGCTGCAAATTAATTAAACAAGTTCAGTTTCTGTATAAATCTACTCGATGACAATTGTTACCACCGACCGGCCACGCCAGCCTCACAAAAATGTCCCGTTTGAGCTGTAAATCTTTATGTCTAGAGATGACAATGGTGTCTATATGGTCCGTTTGAGAATTTCCAGGTTTACAAATCTGTAACTCTCGGTAACCGTTTTGTGTAAGTTGTTGCACTTTTCCATGCAACTTGTTAATATTCATGTACTTATAAGAATTTTCTTTTAAATGCTAACAAACATCTTGTTTTCCATTTTTTCCAAATTTACATTATATATTTAAAAAAAAAAAAACCGATTCAAAGCAAACAATCGGCATGCTCACAGCTGACTGAGTAACCAGAGTTTTTTCAAACATCAAATTGCACGTGTTTCATCAGCATTTCACTCTCACTGGTTATATAAATTATTAGTCAAAGAGATTAACCGCTTTTAGAAAACAACAGCACCTGTGCAGTTGTAAGATATACAATCATAATGACATGGAAATCTAAGGCCGGCTGCAAACATCTGTGTTGATCCGTGCTGGAATTTTGGAGATATTTGTTAAAGTTTGAGGACACGATTTTTGAAACCCACCATAGCTTTGATGTGTCGGGTGTCGTCTGTTTGTTACAATAACCGAGTGTCGTCTTATGTTACAGTAACCGGGCGTCATCTGCATGTTACAGAAACTATGTATGTTACAGTAACCAGGTTTTATCTTAAGTTACAGTAACTGGGTATTGTCTTGTGTTACAATAACCGGGCGTCATCTGTATGTTACAGTAACCGAGTGTCGTCTTAAGTTACAATAACCTGGTGTCATCTGTATGTTACAGTAACCGAGTGTCGTCTTAAGTTACAATAACCTGGCGTCATCTGTATGTTACAGTAACCGAGTGTCGTCTTAAGTTACAATAACCTGGTGTCATCTGTATGTTACAGTAACCGAGTGTCGTCTGTATGTTACAATAACCGAGTGTCGTCTGTATGTTACAGTAACCGAGTGTCGTCTGTATGTTACAATAACCCGGCGCCCTCTGTATGTTACAGCTGTGTAGCCAGCACCTGTCCAGCAAGCAAGACGCCCAGCACCACTACAAGGCTGTGTGTCGGGCGCTAGCCACCGAAGCTGGGGAATTGTTCACATTCCTAGACAGGATCGCCTCCTGCAAGGAGGTATGTATGCCCGTCTCCAGTCTGAGACTTCCTGCTCGACACGGGACAGTGTTTTAGTTATTGATCCGCTTGATTATTTTCCTCTCTTTCTTGTCCCCATGGTTGTTTGTCGGTATTGTCATCAACATCATCCTAACATAACAAGTCTTTTGCGGAACTCCGCTTTCATGGTAGTTGATCATTCACCAGTTACACTGTGTTGTCCAGTTTCTGTGTACGTTGCGTTACCATTCCATTTGTTTAAAATACATCTTGATAGTTCTGACGCATGACTGACGCCCACATACTGACTCTCCTCATTGTAACAGTTAAATTAAAGAACAAAGAGATCATGTCCAACCAGGATTCGACAATCTTTTGGTAGTGAGTGTTAGGCTGAAGTAATGATAAAAGTTGAATGTAAACATCTAAGGTCAATGACAGATGTAAACAGTTACCAGACCTGTTGCAGTTATGACAATTGATTACAGCCCTATTCCGCAACCTTCCCTGTGTAGATGATTGGGGGGAAAATAATATCAGAAGGCATGGTATCAGGAAGGAGGGACAGAAGCCGACCACCACGAAGATGGGCACAGGATATGACACCTTGAATATGGATGTGCTCGTGGCGGTAGAGCTGGCAAGAGACCGTATTCCTTTCAGACAGACGGGAGAGCTGGCAAGAGACCTTATTCCTTTCAGACAGACGGGAGAGCTGACAAGAGACCGTAATCCTTTCAGACAGACGGGAGAGCTGACAAGAGACCGTATTCCATTCAGACAGACGGGAGAGCTGGCAAGAGACCGTATTCCTTTCAGACAGACGGGAGAGTTCGCAAGAGACCGTATTCCATTTAGACAGACGGAAGAGCTGGCAAGAGACCGTATTCCATTCACACAGACGGGAGAGCTGGCAAGAGACCGTATTCCTTTTAGACAGACGGGAGAGCTGGCAAGAGACCGTATTCCATTCAGACAGACGGGAGAGCTGGCAAGAGACCGTATTCCATTCAGACAGATGCGAGAGCTGGCAAGAGACCTATTCCTTTCAGACAGACTGGAGAGCTGGCAAGAGACCGTATTCCTTTCAGACAGACGGGAGAGCTGGCAAGAGACCGAATTCCTTTCAGACAGACGGGAGAGCTGGCAAGAGACCGTATTCCATTCAGACAGACGGGAGAGCTGGCAAGAGACCGTATTCCATTCAGACAGACGGGAGAGCTGGCAAGAGACCGTATTCCATTCAGACAGACGGGAGAGCTGGCAAGAGACCGTAGTTCTTTTAGACAGACCTCGATGAGAGCGAAGTGCTTCAGAGGATCTACTACATGAGGATGAGGATCAGTGTTGACTTGGTAATAAAGAATTGCTAGAGACTGTGCGAAAGCAAATCAGGTCCTGGTATAACTAAAGCCACAATTTGACGCATCGAAGTACAGTATTTTTGGTGGTCTACTTGGGAAAGGGGGGTGGGGGGTCGTTAGGCAACTTTCCGTATTTACAGTAGATGATGTTTGTTACTTGGTGCTATATGATTGACTGCCTGTGGGCAGGGCGAGTGTAACTAGCACAAGCAGCCTGTGTTAGGAAACATCTTCGACAGAAAGTGCTTGTTGACTGACTGACTGACTTTCTACCCCACCAGGACATCACACAAGCGATAAACACCCTATGACACAAAGTGCCACCATGTGGATGAGGATCACCGTGGAGAGGTCCCAGAAACCGCGTTCAGACATTTGGCCATATTGATGGCCTGCCTATATTGCGGCCCCTGGCAAAAGCCAGAGTGGGGCTTCAAATAACAAAAAATTACGTCCAAAATTGGGCGTAAGTATAAGTGCTTGTTGTCTACCACGGGAAATCTAATCAGAACTGTTTCGCCGGCGTCAGATATGGACCTTTACTGAGCGCAACATCATTACAACGCAGATGAGGTGAGATGTCTTAAAAAAGCTACCGATGTAACAAGAAGACATGACATTCAAAAGAAAGAATCTGTATATACATATAAACTAGGGCTGGAAAACACTCAAACAGTTCATTAACACACAAAAGCTAAGATGGTTTGACAGTCTGAGGAGAATCTCTTGGTACCAGCTGCCACAGAAGCCACGCTAAAGAAATCTAATAAATAGAGAGCAAGGAGAAATCCACACAGAAGATGGAGGAACAGTGTCGTCAAGCCTTATAGAAGCAAAGATCATGTATACAAGACATTTTAAAGATCACCCAGGCGATCTCTACAACTGACACAGACACTTGGATACTGGCAGAACAGAACAAGGAACAATTGTACGGGGATTGAGCGGGCCAAGCTGACCCCGTCGTACGTGTAGACCAGCGTTGTTGACATTAAATAGTTGCTTGTGTTGAGCAACATTATCGTTCGCTACAGCTACACTAGGGTGTCATCAGCTGTTTGTCAACTGTTTTTCTGGTTTCTCCCTGCCCCTTAGAAACTGTCAGAAACAAAGGATGAAGATGCCAAGAGACTGGAGGAGCTACAGAGGGCTGACTGGGTGAGTTTTTCCGGCTCCCTCCATATCTTTCCGTTGCTACATGTTTGTTTTACTGTCTGTCAGGTCCCTAAACCACCTTGTGCTTTCTTTCCCCAGTTCACTCCCCATCTCGTCATGTAAACTAAACACCACTTACGGTGCACAAAGACCTCTCTAGAAGTGCTCCTATCTTCATCTATAGTGCCCCCTTTCGTCACACCCCCCCCCCCCCCCCCACCTCACTTCCGTGGCTATTAGGTTATTCATGACTGCACTGAGATTGTCCTCGCTTGATCTCCAGGAGACTGCAACACATGTGGAATATACCTCTACACTCTACGGTGACTGATCAAACCCCCTCATTAATTTTTCACAGTCTTTGTGTCGTTGGCGTTACACTTAAACATACGATAGGTAGCCGAGCTAGGACGCGCTCAGTTGTCAGTGTCTTCTTCAGTCTATTCTCTTTCTCTCTGCCTCCAATGTTTCATAGTGTATGCTCATTTTGCCAGCTTCCAACATCACTGGATACATATCCACTAGATGGTTGAACCACTGTAGTCTTTGTTTCACAGTGAATTTAACGATGACTGTTGTTCCTGTATAAGGAGAAGGATGTTTGTCAAAAGGTAGACCACAAACAGGGTGAAAAAAATAACATCCACACACACACACACACACACACACACACACACACACACACACACACACACACACACACACAATTCTACGATAACACACACTCAGTGCCGATGACTAAAGCAACCAGAAGGGCGAGAAATAGAACTGTGTATCCCCTGACACTCCGTGAAAGATGAAATTGAAAAGACGACAAGGAAAGGCAGAAGAAGATTGTTGCAATAGGTCTTCTAATCTGTTCGTTTCTGCGAGGATCTTGTCCACTTGACCACAACCAACTATCTATCTTCCTCAGGCCTGCCTGTGGGTACAGGTGACCAGGTCGTTACGTCAGGGCGTCCGCTTGAAGAAAGTGGAACATACCAGCCTGCCACCACTGGAGTTTGAACTGACGCCCTTCGAAATGCTGCTGGAGGATATACGCTCTCGGAGATATACACTGCACAAGATCATGGTAAGGGCATTTGATACTTTCCTTCTTGTTCTTCTTCTTCCTATTATCATTATTATTATTATTATTATCATCAGTATTATCATTTTGCTTCTTCCTCCTCCTCTGCGTTCGACCTTAACCAGGCGGTTGATACATTTTGTGTTATGGTTTATCGCTAGGCTGCAGTACCTGCACAATTTTAGCACAACACATCTGATTTCAGCAAACCCGAGATTAGTCGCCTTTCACGACATGCTTAATAAAGAGCAGTATGTCTGTTCTTAAAAAACCAACCAGGGATCTCACAGCCGCGTTCTTTAGCTATGTGGGAGCCGTGTGGCCTAGAGGCTAGACCCTCTCCTACGAGTCTCAGGGTCTTGGGGACCAATCCGCAGATTCGAAAATGTCCCTGGCTCCTAGGTCGTCCCAGCCAGGTAGAGTCATGCGATGACGTACACACACGTGACCCTGGCTCCTAGGTCGTCCCAGCCAGGTAGAGTCCCGCGATGATGTACACACACGTGACCCTGGCTCCTAGGTCGTCCCAGACAGGTAGAGTCATGCGATCATGTACACACACGTGACCCTGGCTCCTAGGTCGTCCCAGCCAGGTAGAGTCATGCGATCATGTACACACACGTGACCCTGGCTCCTAGGTCGTCCCAGCCAGGTAGAGTCATGCGATCATGTACACACACGTGACCCTGGCTCCTAGGTCGTCCCAGCCAGGTAGAGTTCCACGATGATGTACACACACGTGACCCTGGCTCCTAGGTCGTCCCAGACAGGTAGAGTCCCGCGATGATGTACACACACGTGACCATGGCTCCTAGGTCGTCCCAGACAGGTAGAGTCATGCGATCATGTACACACACATGAATCTAGCATCTGATGCTTCATTCGCAAGGGTCGAGAAATGAGTCCTTTTCTTGCCGATTTTTACATGTAATGATTTCTGTCTAAAGAAGCTGTGTACGAAGCCGTGTAGTGCCTGTGCCTAGTACACAGCTGGCACAGTCCCCACATAAATAAGTTGCACACAGTTTCCACAACCTTGGACAGAGCAACAACGTAGCAACTGTTGACATTTGACTAGGGAAACATGGACCAGCCGACTTGAGCTGCCTCAGATTGCCGCCAAAGTTGTGTGTCCTGCAAACGTCGGCTGCTGCTTGCTTTAGGCCACTGGACTGTGTTTATCCTAGGATCAGAATAGAAAATTCTGCAGGAGTTTACTCAGGAAGGAGAGGCCCTTGGAGATGCTTTCAGCGGAGGCTGGGTTAGGTTGGTGTGTTGGTTTTGGGGAGCTTTGTAGAAAGAAGGAGTGGAGGGGGGATGTCGGTGTTGGGAGCAGGCGGAAGGAGAGCCATGTAGCCTATTATGTCACCTATTACGGGCAGATGTAAAAGTAACCAGAGGTCCGTTTTTACGCCGGTGACCCATCAGAGGTTTGGTGCTAGACTTATTTGTTAATATACCAATGGGCACTGGATGGGTGATCTGCCTAGTATCACGCCACCCGCCTTTACTTTGTGGGACATTGGCTGGTACCAGTTTTAGGATGGGTCGACCTGTGAGGCAAGGTAAAGGATGGAAGGGCTGGGGGAGGGCTCTAACCCAAAATCTGACCGGCTTCTGGCAGCTGCTCTACCGCGGCCCCTATACGCATGTGAAGGAGTAGAAAAGGTGAGATTGGAAAGACAAGATTAAACATGAGAGAAAGAATCTTTAATTTTCTTTACTTTTAGACTTTTAACCCAGTGCTTTTCTACGGTCATTTAAAAAAAAAAGGCGAAGTTCTGAAGAAACCTCATTACAGACATCAGTGGACCAACGACCAAAGTTTGTCGAGGGCCTGTGTTGCAATGGCTGCCAGTAGCCACAAGAATAGAAACAGACTGAAGTGGGGTGAAAGAAACAGTAGAAGGGATATCATGTTACCTTATATGTATTATGGCTAGACTGCACCAAAGGACTCCTGCGACAACTTAGCTCCATATCACTGAGATTAGGTAGTTTATTGTTTCCATGAAGGTGTCAGATGCAGCACTGCCGGTGTGGATGTGTCCGGACATTGACCAACTTCTTAATGTCTGTCCTGTATCTGCAGGTCAATGGCGAGATTCCCCACAAGGTCAAGGACAACGCCCATGCGGTTATACTGGACTTTATCCGGTCTCGTCCTCCATTGAAGAAGGTCAGTCATCAATGTTTGCTTGTCTCTTCGCTCCCCCCCCCTCCCCTAGTCCAGTATATGCCGAATTGAAAGGCTATAGGTGTGCGTGTGTGTGTGTATGTTTTCTGTATCCACCCTGCAGCAACAGACTGCAATGATTCTGACATTATCTCTCCTCCCCCCCCAACAGACAAACAAGGGAACATCATCTGCATGTCTTCCTCCCATCTGCAGAGATAAATCCTTATAGGGTCATACCATGTATGCAGGTCTTTCTAAGCCCCCTGGGATTAGTTGGGTAGCTTTTTTATTTCTCTCCTCCTCCTCCTCCTTGTTGTTGTTGTCCTTCTTCTTCTTCTTTAGAGTTTGTGTGTTGAATCGGTCTCCAGTTTTATTTGAATACATCTCTAATGAGTCCAAAATGTCGTTGCAGTACCCTGTTCTCAAAATGTTGTTAATTTAGCTTAATTTCTTCTAGTTGTACTCCGGTTTCTTCGCTGCATTTCCTTTTGATGACATTGCAAACCAACGTTGACATGTATAGGCTGTTGTGTGTTTCACCAGGCAGTTTTACATTGACTAATTGTGTTTCCATGTTTACCTCTCTGGGCTGCTTCCAAAACACTAACCAGCCTGAGATAACAAATTGTTGTCACTCTGGATGTCAGGCCAACAGGGCACATACCAAATACCCCGGTCAACCTCGAGAGTCATTGTAAATGGGGAAAATGTAACGGTTGCATAATCCCTGTGTAACCTGGACAGTTCCATGTGCCTAGAGACTCCCCCATCTTACTGCCTGTGTTCATGAACAAACAACTACAGACTGTCATACTTTACCTCACAAAGATGCTGAGTCAATATTTGGGTACAGTTGGTGAATGTTATCTTAATATCTACACAAATGTGTTTTCTTCTACACTGCTGGTGATTAAGGCAAGGACCATGCAGATCATCTGGCTGATGGTGCAGTTAGTTACTTTAGCTGGCCTGCCACTGGACAGGAGTGATGTCAATTATGCCATTCAACCTTCATATTATTAAGACGATGACCACCTGTGGACTCAGTTCCCCCCTTATAGGAAACCAACCTGAGACTAGCTAACATGAATAGGTCATTAAGGACACAAGATATCCGATTAATCAACACAGAGCGAGTGGGATCTGTCCTGAGCTACTGTAGCGATCACCTTTTGCAATGACCCGAGTGCTATGATGATAATCCTTACTTATGACTCATCACATATAATTGGGGACACTGTGAGCTGCATTACTCCATATCATATTAGTTCCACAACTCATATCATCACCAAAAGAGCATCTGTTGTGATGGTTGTCTTCTTGTCCCTTTCCTGTTCTGGTGACAGGAAAACAATTGTGCTCGTCGTAAAGGGATGTAATCTAAGAATTACAACAGCTGTTTACCGAGTTACTTCCCCTATAGCCATGAAACAACATTGGTTACCTCAATGAGACCCAGCAGCTTAGGACCGGCAGACTAATATGTCTACTAGTTCATGTTTTCGTGTTGTTGTCCTTTTTCTATGCCCGGTTTTTTTTAAATCAATTATTTATTATCAAATGGTGTTAGCTTTTAGGCTGTGTGTATGTGTTTTTGAATACTAGTCTCTCACAGTCATACTTTCTAGAAAGTAATGGCAAACTAATGAAAATAAAACCACTCAGTGAAACCGATAAATGTTGTTGTTGGCTTGCGATGTCTTAAATAGGACATGCAACTTGCATACGGTCGGACAGATAAAGATGTCCACATGTTGTGTGTTTCTGCCTGCAGTTGCCGTTTTTCTGCCAGCGGTTGCCGTGTTTCTGCCAGCAGTTGCCGTGTTTCTGCCAGCAGTTGCCATGTTTCTGCCAGCAGTTGCCATGTTTCTGCCAGCAGTTGCCATGTTTCTGCCAGCGGTTGCCGTGTTGTTGCCAGCAGTTGCCGTGTTTCTGCCAGCAGTTGCCATGTTTCTGCCAACAGTTGCCATGTTTCTGTCAACAGTTGCCGTGTTTCTGCCAGCGGTTGCCGTGTTGTTGCCAGCAGTTGCCGTGTTTCTGCCAGCAGTTGCCATGTTTCTGCCAACAGTTGCCATGTTTCTGTCAACAGTTGCCGTGTTTCTGCCAGCGGTTGCCATGTTTCTGCCAACAGTTGCCATGTTTCTGCCAGCAGTTGCCATGTTTCTGTCAACAGTTGCCGTGTTTCTGCCAGCGGTTGCCATGTTTCTGCCAACAGTTGCCGTGTTTTTGCCAACAGTTGCCGTGTTTCTGCCAGCAGTTGCCATGTTTCTGCCAGCAGTTGCCGTGTTTCTGCCAACAGTTGCCATGTTTCTGCCAGCAGTTGCCATGTTTCTGCCAACAGTTGCCATGTTTCTGCCAGCGGTTGCCGTGTTTCTGCCAGCAGTTGCCGTGTTTCTGCCAGCGGTTGCCATGTTTCTGCCAGCAGTTGCCATGTTTCTGCCAGCGGTTGCCGTGTTTCTGCCAACAGTTGCCATGTTTCTGCCAGCGGTTGCCGTGTTTCTGTCAACAGTTGCCGTGTTTCTGCCAACAGTTGCCATGTTTCTGCCAGCGGTTGCCGTGTTTCTGCCAGCAGTTGCCGTGTTTCTGCCAGCGGTTGCCATGTTTCTGTCAACAGTTGCCGTGTTTCTGCCAACAGTTGCCATGTTTCTGTCAACAGTTGCCGTGTTTACAGACTCAGCTGGCTGGCTGTTTCCGCTCCTTCTTTTTGTGCACGTCTTGTGTCGTTGCTGGCCATGTCTGTCCAGTCATAGCCGCCCGCACCCCAGTTCCAGAGAGTTACACTTGAACATATTTATGTTCGAGAGTATCATCATCATTCTGACGTGTTAATAGGACTGCTAGTCTGTTCCTTTGTTCCGTTTCATCTTTCGCCTATTTTCATATGTCCATGTTCTCTCAGCATTTTTCTGAGAGTTTCAGTTGGACGTCCGTGTTTCCCCTGTCCATTTGTTTCCAGTTTTTGTTTAAACCATACAGTGCCCCAACCCAGTCGGGTCACTTCATGACCTTCGGGTGCCCCAATATAACTGTGTCATAGGGTTGAAAGGGATTTGTGAGATTTGTACCTGTGGGATTCTCATCCGAATAGTGACTGTTTGAGTCACCGGATGTTACCGGGCCAGTATGCGGTGCTAAAGGAGTTGAACTTCACTCACTCACCGAGTGCCTGTTTGTTGATTCTCTGATGTGGTTTCTGAAACATAGAATTGATCCTGACACTGTACCTACCTACACGAAATGACTGAGGAAGACAACAATGTTAGGTGCGGAAATCTTTGCGGAAACATGCACTTCGGTCAGGCGTAAATGCCCCCCCCCCCCCCCCCGTCCCAAGTAAGGAGGAGGGTAAGGGTAAACCCCGTGTGATGGGCGTGCTGTTATCTGTTTTGAACCCCGTCAGGTTTAAGACTGTCTCTCTTTTTATGTCACTGATGATTGCTGGAGCTACTGAGTTCGTGCTTGGTCAAGCAGCTGCGAGAGAGAGAGAGAGAGAGAGAGAGAGAGAGAGAGAGAGAGAGAGAGCATTGTATTCTGGGATCGATATGATAACAAAGCAATAGATGCACCGTCCCCCTTAGGCATGATCTATATATTGTAGACGCCGTTCTCCAAGTTGGTATTAGGGGAAACCCGGTTCAGTGAGGTGGAGACTGTCACATGTAAACACTCTTGAGCCCTAACGGTGATCTTGGCACTACCTGGAACATGTGTGAGGGACCAATTATTGCCACGCGGCGCTATCTGGAACATGTGTGAGGGACCAATTATTGCCACACGGCACTGCCTGGAACATGTGTGAGGGACCAATTATTGCCACGCGGCGCTGTCTGGAACATGTGTGAGGGACCAATTATTGCCACACGGCGCTGTGTGGAACATGTGTGAGGGACCAATTATTGCCACACGGCGCTGTCTAGAACATGTGTCAGGACCAATTATTGCCACACGGCGCTGCGACATGGTAATTAGCTTTTCTGCCCAGATAGTGAATCATCTTCTTGTCATATTTCAGGTGCCAGTCCTTGCTTTTTACACCACCTAACCTATCAGTAAATCAAAACATAGTGTACCTGTTATAGATTCTCCTAATGAAGACAATACCTAACAAGATACGGCTAGACATGTCTTACAGTCATTTGTTCAGTCTGTTCTTCATGTCTCCTCGTCTGGGTTCTGGAATATACATACATGTGTTTTGGGAATAAACAAACTTTCTCATACATAACAATCATATTGTAAAAGGCGTTTCCTTCGAAGTCGGGCAGCATCTGCCTGAGAGGCCAGGAAGCAGGAGTCTGCATACAGGTTAGCAAGATCTGTAAACTGTTGTGCACGCGAAACTCCTCCTCTGTTGGAGCATCGCCCCTCAACCAGCTTACGCCAAACCCAGTGACATCATTATCGAGATGTTAAAGGTTCAGATTTTTCGAAAGCCATTTTGAAAACCAACCCTTGTTAGTATCTCATACGACACACACGATAGTTTGCAGTGTTAAGTTCTGTACTGCCGCAGTAGGTCCCGCTAGCACACAAACAGAATATAAGTGCATCAGTATTCTAGAAAGATTCATCGGATAAATTATAGTTTACTGATAATTATACTGTATTATTTTTGTTTAATATCATTGGCATTTATGTGACACATCATCGCTACCTACAATTACTACTATTGAAGTATCGATTCGAATTCCAGCTGAAACACTCACTGTCTTAAGTATCAGCAAGTAGGCATTATCTTTCTTCGTAAATGTCGATGTGTCTTTCTCCTATCTGCCTGTCTCCATCACTGTTGGTTGTGACTGTCTCCTGTTTTTCTGTCTTCATTAGTGTTGTTGTGGCTTTGTATTTTCTGTCTGTCTCCATCAGTGTCGTTTTGTCTTACTCCTATCTGTTTCTCTCCGTCATCTGTTGTCTCTCTGTTCCTCTACTTTGCTGCCCTGGCGCTCTGTTCTATTTTATTTTGTATGTCTGTGTGATGGCGTGTGTGTGTGTTGGCGCTC